GGGGTGGAAAAAAGACAGGAGGAAAGGGAGTGGCGACCTGGTTGCGTCAAGATGGCAAGGACGGAGTGTACATCACGGAGGAGTTGGATCGCGCGAGAGCGTACTACTCTGTGCGCGCCGTAATTACGCAGTATTACGAGCGGCGTTACGACGGGGATGTTACGTTAACGTGGCTCGTGTTGTACGTGGCGTGCGCGCGCGCGAATTAAGAAGACGGAATTAAAGCGGTGCTGCTGCAAATTCATTCGCGCGACTGGTTTTACGGGGCGACGCGGGACCGAAATGGAAAGGCCGCTCTCACACGATTCATAACTTGCAGCCGCGACAGAATGTCGAAGTAGCTCCCTTTATACTCTCTCGCGTGCCAAAATTGTCTTCGAGAAAACACGATCGCGATAATTAAATACTGTTTTTGTTCTGCAGTAAACGTAGCAGACAAACAGACTCGCACGAGTTATGAATAATCTATAGGTATATATTTTCAGCTTAAATCGAATTCAAATTTGGATCGATCGCTATGACATCGTCGATTGACATTCCTTTTTACTTTACGATATATATATATATATGGTATGATAGGTATGAAGTCCCGCGAGACACACGGGACGCGTTTTCACTAGAATAAAGTCCCTTGAATTAATGATAGAATTCTACAGTGAATTTTCTTTGCGAATCGCGTGAAACGGGCTTAAGGGACACGAGGAAAGAAGGGCGCCGCGTTTGTCCGCCGACTCCTCTAATGCCCGCATATTTCGCGACACGTCGCGCGGAGAGACAGCGACTCGACTCGCGTTGCGCGCGATATTTCTCGCCGCGCGACGTTTCATGCATACGGCATCGATGACGATTTTTCAACGGGGCGACTTCGTCGCTGCGCCCACCGATGGATTGTTACGAGCTGGCGTATTTCGTACGTTCGTCACAAAAGTGGAGTTAAAATGGAATAATTGAAATGTTTTCAAGTGGAACGGCATTTTCCATCAGAGAGATTATACCGTTTCGCAGTTTGAGAGACACGAGCTACATGTTCGTTAAGTAAATATCAATCTAGCTTTCAATAATTCCTCCAATGATTGATAACTTTTCTAGTAAGTTTGATACCAAAAATATTCACATCAGTATGCTGAAGATTCTGTAACCGATAGCCATAAAAAACGTCTCGTGTGTATATTTGTTATACTTTCAATTTATAGTATACGTACGTTAGGGTTACGCTCATCGCGGTCGAATCTTAATTTATGTACATAATTATACGTACATGATTGCACGCGAGGAGATCTATCGTGAAGCGCGAAATAAATGATTTTTTCATTTAATTACAAACTTGCGAAAAATAACCGATAGTCGTAATAAGAAAATCAATTTGGTCTTGCATTGTAAAATTTACAAAGTCAATAGATAATGTATAACAGTAAATCCAAATGTTTTAAGCTGATTATCATGGCAAAGTGAAGAAAGAGTACTTAGAAGTAAAACTTTACAAAACTTTATAAAATGATACGAATAATAATGTAGAAATTCTTCTGTTTGATCATAAATCCATAAAAAGTAAGAAAAGACTCATTATAAAATAAAAAAGCCAACTGATGTAGCAATAAATTCAAATGATAAAAGATAATTATCATAAAATGAAAAATGTACACTGCAAGTCCAAGTGTATAAGTCTAAATTTTTACACATTTGATCTGTGTTTTACACAGTTAAATGCATTTTTTTTACACGCTTACACACATTATTGTCAAATTAAGCGTGTAAAAATATGCAGTTAAGTTTCTGTGTAAAACACAGATCAAATGTGTAAAAATATAATACACGTATAAATGCGTAAAAAATAACTCCAGATGTACACACTTGGATTTGGAGTGTATTTGCACATATATATGTATAATATATTAAACTTTATTTTTTTTATATAAATGGCATGAATAGTTTATAATGTAGAAATTCATTCATTCAAATACGCGAAGTAAAAGAAAATTTATTTAGATCCTAAAATAAAAAATATTGATAATATTTAAATAAATTCGAATTTTAACAAGATAATTGACGATTGGCAATATTTAAATAAATTCGAATTTTAACAAGATAATTGACAATTGGCAATATTTAAATAAATTCGAATTTTAAAAGATAATTATCACAACAAAGCAAAGAAAATATAAATAAGCTTGAAAATAAGCCTTTACATACATGGTAAAAACAGCAATGGTAAAAACAGCAGTAACGAGAAAGAAACATATGTTCTGTAAAAAAAAAAAAAAATTGACAGGATGAGAAACAATTTTACAAGAGACAGATTAGCGAGCTTGAATTCGCGATGGTCCCAACGTTTGACAGCTGAAATTTCACCGTGGTCTTAAAAAAGTACGGCCGGCGGTCAAGGCCGACCTCGATTTTCGACGAAAGCGAAGGAGATGCCGGACGTACGCGACCCGCGACCTTTTCAAACGGAGAAATTTCGAGTAGCGAGCGTATACGCTGGCGAGCGGCGTGCTATCGCTTGAAAACGCTCCGCTCGCTCGCTTCGAACGCGGGCGAGTCTTACGGCACTCTCGCGACGGCAAGAAATCGGCGAAGGACGAACGCGCGTGGAGGAGAAAGTCGTTGACGGGAGACTAGCTGTGGGGCACGCTGGATGTCAGCTGACGGGAGACCGAAGGCCGCCGGAGACGACGAAACGTTGATAGATTGTAATATAACGTAATAAGAGTATAACACTGTGGCAGGATGTGCCACGAGAAATCTATTCTTGATATAATTCTCTTCCGTCGCACATTCCCCCCCCCCCACACTTCTCGTAGTTAAAAAACGCGACGAAATTGTACATCGACAATTAAGAAGAAGTGACATTTCCCGGTGAGGGACTGAGAAAATGGAGCGAATAAAAATCACAGATTTATGGCAAAGATGCAGTTTTCCGTTACGTAACGTCGGAAAATAGCGTGTACGCGAAAATGAGAATCCGACCTTGGAATTGGAGTCGAGTTCGGGAACGAGCACATGGCAGCGCGCTTACTAAGTGCCTAAGTTAATAACGGCAATGATATTAATGGTATTGAACGCGGCGTGGGACGGGGAGGGGGGAGAGACAGGCGGGGAGGAAACACGGAGTGATGCCACTGCGAATGACGGAACGGATTATCGCGCGAGCGAACGGCGGCTAACGTCGCGTCAAAGGTGACGTCCGGTGACCCCGTTGTGCATCGCGGCGATTTATATATACACATATACATACACGGGCACGCAGCTAGACGTTGCAGACCGCGAGAGAAAAACTTACCCGTTGTGACGAACGCTCGCTTCCACGTAATCGATGACAGGTTTCCCAGGAGGTAGGAGGAGAGGAGGAAAGAAGAATGGAGCGGCAGCTCTGAGCTCGCGCTGCGGGGAGTCACCGCCGGGAACGACGCAGCGGAAGGTCGCGGGCGGTTTCTATTATCTCCCGGCGATGAGCCACGGCATGTTCCACCGGCACGGCGCACGGCGGACTTCCCTCTTGACGTCGGAGAGGCGGTCGGACCGCCGTCGTGCGTGGTTAAAGAGAACGACGGATGAGAAGAACGACGACGATGATGTGTGTGATCGGCACTCGCGGCAATTATTCGCCCGAACGAAAGGACGAAGAGCGAGAGACAGAGAGAGAGAGAGAGAGAGAAAGAGACGAAGACGAGAGAAAGAGAAAGAGACGGAAAGGGGAAGAGAGAAAGGGAGAGAAAGACGCGGCCAAATTTCCTGCCCCGAACAGTCACCCGATCCGCGAGAGCGCGCGTCCCGTACCGCCACCACTGGATGTAGCACACCGAACGTAGCACCGCGCACTGACTGCTCTCGCGCCGTTCACCAAGGCGATAAACAAACTCGCCGCCCGCTTCTCTCCCTTCCCGCGACACGACTACGCGCGCAACGCCGAACGCGCTCCGTCTCGCTCGCGCGCGGTGCCTCTCGCTCCCACTCCGACTCTGCTCCGCGCGCGCCTACCCCCCTCCCCCTTCGTCCTCACTCGCGCGCTTCTCGTCACGCCGAGGCGCGCGCATTCGGTCGTCGCGCCTTCGCCTCCCTCCCCTCC